ATGCTTAGTCGTCAATGTCCTGGGAGGACTCAGACTCTGCCAGTGATCGCCTCCTTCTCTTTCCTTATTCTACCTAGGAAAAACACTTTTGCATGGATGGGGGTTTATTCACTCTCCCTCCTTTTCCTAATACTTTTAACTGATAAGCAATAGGTTGAGCCACTGTCGTTGTGTTTAACTGGCTGTGATAACGAAGAATCTTGCATTCAAAGAGTACAACTTCACCATAGCCCAGAATCTGCCAAAAAGCACTAATGGTAAATCTTACTGGAGTTTGTAGCAGCGCTTTTACTCACCTCGTTTGTGTTTCAGGTGGCTCTATGCCAGTGCAAATTTCGCCGGGCCTCTTGGCTCTAAAAGACGTTGACTGGAGGCGGGTTCATTTCTTCTTTTGTGACGAACGTGTCGTACCATTTAACAGTCCGGATTCCACCTACGGTGTTTACAAGAATCTCCTCTTTGACCGGTTACCCGATCTGCCGACCGAAAATGTGCACAAAATTTGTGTAGAAGGCAGTGCGGCAGAAGCAGCCGCCAAATACCAGTCAGACATAATGGCCTTCTTTGGGACAGAGCATGGCTACCCAGCTTTTGACTTACTCCTTCTTGGAATCGGTCCCGATGGACATACCTGTTCACTCTTTCCGAATCACAAACTCCTTTCAGTAAGTCTCATTCCTACAGCATGTTCATGGATACTGCATTAATCATCTCTTTTCAGCTCTACGTAGCCTTCCTTTTTTCGTACAATCAGATTTCTTTTGAAGTCCGCAATTGCACGGGTATCACGCATGGCGTGACCTACTGTTGTCCCTGGAGGCTCTTCTACTGAGTCGCAAGAATCACATTACTCTCTCTCTCTCTCTCCCTCTCTCTGTGAGTGCGCTTTTGCGCTGGCAATAACAAAAAATTGTCAGGTGCGATTTAGATACCCCTTGGCCGCTGCCGTCACCACTGTAGTCAAACTTAGTCAGGCTGCATGCACGAGCCAGCCGCCGCGGCATACGAAGTCTGCCGATTGGACTACTCGAATGTACAGTGCGTGACCGATCTCATGAAATGTTAGCCGAAATTCTGAAACGCGTTTTCGATTACGCACTTAGATGGGGTTGTTATATTGATTAGAAAGCAGCATAATACTATAACATTTCGGACTCGCCAGGATGTCGGCTTTTGAATGCACTTCTTTTCGTCCTTCTGCAGAAACCACACTCGGTAAAACTTGACTACTTAGGTAGCATGAATTTTCACTACTGATTTCCGATAATCTTATAAATGCAAATAAATTTTACAGAAAACACGCACAACATATGCTTTCTTTTGCTCGTTTGGTAAAAACTCACATTGTCTTCATGTATTATACCCGAAGAAAGTGTGTATTTGGGTTTGAAAAATTTATAATAATGAAATTTTTAAGGACTGCGCATTTCCGTTTACCAATGCTCCTCATGAAATGTACAACACAGTCTGGATCCATTGCGAAATTTCAAGTGGTATCTTCTTAAAGGCATAGAGGAATACATGATTTTCCTTACGCGGAAGGCACGCACCTTGTAGACTGAAATCACTTAACGTTGACGCAATGGCAGCTCAGGCTCAAAATTATTCGGGGATTGCGAAACTTTTTTAAAACCTGAAGATGCACTTTTTTCGGGTATAAGATATAAAGAGAGTGTGATTTTCTATCAAAAAAGTAAAAGAAAGCATATTTTTGTGTACGTTTTCTATAAAATGTGTTCGAATTTATAAGACCATCTAAAATCAATAGGATACATGCATGCTACTTAAGTAGTCATTTTTTTACCGTGTGGTTTCTGCAGGAGGTCGAAAAGAAGTGAATTCAAAAGCCGACATCCTGATGAGTCCGGAATGTTATAGGGTTATGCTGCATGAAAATTAGTAATAACAACCCCACCTAAGTAATCCTTCCTAATCGAAAACGCATTCCAGGATTTTGGCCAACATTTCATGAGATCGGTCACGAAGTGTGCATAAATCTATCTGCTGAATAAGTGTCAACGTTGCTCACTTAGACGGCAGCCCCTGTCTGCTTGCACCTTGGATAGCACTTATCATCACTGGCTGATTCAACCTACCCCCTCACGGCACCACGCGTGATCGTTGTCTGACGATGATGCGGAGTTGAACCAGATGATGTTGGGGGGCCTAACTGCTGACTACCCAGCGTAAGTTAACTGCGGAATTCCGGTGAGCGAGTGAGCATTCACAGAACACCAGTCGAGGTCTGGCAAAATGCTACCGACCCCGATGACGGCACTGAAACCCACCAATCATGAAACGTCGGCAAATCGATTCATCCCGCTACCGCTGCCCCGCCTAGTTTAGGAAGGAGGCAAGCCGGCTTAAATGGGCTCGGGGGACCTTGGTGATTGCAAATAGAAGCCAAGAGACGAGTCCCAGGAAGTAGTCTTGAAGTAGGAGACACGACCCCTGTGACAAGAGCTTTATTAGCCTGACGCTTCGGATTCCTACTCGAACCCATCACCAGCGACAAAAGCAGATACGGGTGCTTCATGCACAAGGGGCCGCAGTATTTATAGGATGCGGTCACCATGTTATCGCATACCTATGAATATTCACGGCTCTCCCTCCCTTTTGATCAGGGATCGTTGCTCATGGTGTTATGGCCGTTTGATGGCCGACATTCGCGTCGGTAATCGCTGCGATTTCATCACGTGCGTTGTATGTTAGTGTGATTATTGCTCGACCATCTGACGCACTGAACCTGGTGTTGGGAAAAGTGTTCACCTGTGCGTTCCCCGCGTGGCTAATTACTCCGCCTAAGCGAAGTCTCAGCGCCGAGTATGGAAGGGGAAGAGAATTGCACTTGTTAATTGACTGGGGGCCAGTAAACCATGATTCAAGTAGCTCCCGGCTCACGCGGTTGTCACCTCTTGCGAGAATTTCTGTCTCGTCAAATTTGAATGTGTGGTCGGATCTCGTCGAATGAGCCGCAACTTGAGAGCTGGCATCATTTCTCCGCACCGCTGCAGCGTGTTTGGCCATTCTCGTTCAGAGCTGTCTTCCGGTTTCCCCGACGTAGTTGCTTTGTCCGCAACTGCATCCGATGGTCGAGTTATCATCACACCAACATCCAACGCACGTGATGAAATTGCAGCAATTAACGACGCGAATGTCGGCCATCAAACGGCGATCACACCATGTGCAACGATCCCTGATCAAAAGGGAGGGAGAGCCGTGAATATTCATAGGTAAGCGATAACATGGCGACTGCATCCTATAAATACTGCAGCCTCTTTTGCATGAACCACCCGTATCTGCTTTTGTGTTTGATGATGAGTTCGAGCAGGACTCCGAAAAGTCAGGCTAATAAAGCTCTTGTCACAGCGATCGTGTCTCCTTCAAGACCTTGGCGATTCTCTGCGAGCAGTAGTTTCAGACGTCAGTTAATTTGTACGCGTCTACAGGATACGGGTTGTCGGTCCTGGTGACACGGGAGACTCAACTTCCCCACCCAGCCTCTCATTGTCAGCGTAGGTCTTCATTAGCGCGGAAGTTGACAAGGTATTAGCCGAGGTTAGTTGAGGAGGCACTCACACCTTTTCTGAATTCGGTCGAAGTAGTTCTCTCACGGTAACCGATTTGTTATCTCTGGGCCGTTGTATTGACCAAACGTTGTCTTTATCAGTACTCGAAAGCGCTGTGCGGCTTTGAAAGTGTTAAACTACTCTATTTTCTTGCGTCCTTATCGGGCAAAAGTGTTGCACGAGGCTTCCCTGTATCCCCTGAGGAAATGGCAGCGAGGTTAAAGAAAGACATTGCCCTCTGGAGTTCACCAACATCCCACAGACATAACCTGATGGCAGTGGTTTTACACCATTTTCTATTGCCTTTTGAATTTCTGCCAGATTTTCTGACTGCAGAAACAGTTGATCTTGGAACTCACATCTTCGCTTGTATCTGCAAAACCAGTCTCACTTACTTCCCCTCCAACTACTTTAGGTTGAGGATCTCGTTGTTGCACCTATCACTGACAGCCCGAAACCACCACCCAATCGTGTCACACTTACACTCCCCGTGATCAACAAGTCGAAGCATGTCGCCTTCCTGGTTGCGGGCCGGAACAAGGCTGAGGCCGTTACGGTAGGTCTTTGTCTCTGAAAATGCCTGACCGGCTGTTGTTTGATCGGTTCAGGTGTGTTGACCCCTCTTTTCGCCCGTAGACTCACTTCGTCGTTATCGTCGACACGACGGCATGTCATAAATATAATCCACCTTCCATTATGTGGAAGATGTGTCCACAGCACGGAACCCACTCGTCCCAGTAGATCTCCCTAGTCTGGAGAGATATCACAGACGTTGCACAGCGACAGGTCACAATGCAGAGTAAATATCGACCATTTCTGAGGACCAGATTTGTTTAACGGGTGAGACACCGTTTTGGCGGCCCTGGAACCCAAAGACCAAAGAGTCCGCCCCCGGGCCTGGGGTTTTTCTAATTCTGTGGTTGGGGCACTGCTGGGTGACAATGGCCGGAAAAAGATATTCCGTTCGTCTCAATCACTGTTTTTGCCGTCACCCCACTTAACTGAGTTCTAAAGAAGGCTATGGCGGTCTAAGTTCTTCTCTGCTATTAACCCTCGCGATGAAAACGCCCTGTTAGGTAGTAATCACCGGCAGCAATGGTGTGAGACGATTCTCCAGGATACATTGTAGTACAGAAAAAAGCGTATATTTCAAAGTAAGTTGCCCAACAGACATGTGAGTACTAGTTCCGCAGGTTTCTAATCGAAAGTCCCATTCTCTCGACATTCCGGTCACTTGTAGAGATTGCGAGCGTATGTATTCGGGCATGCTAGCTGCCAGGATGGTGAAGAGCCATTCTGGCTGACATTTGAGGAACAGTCGGGTCTCTGCAAGGCAAAGGAGCATATCGGAGGCGTATGCGTCGAGAAATGCGACCTGCCTGTCATCTTCCTGCTCAACGCCCCTACCTCCTTCCCCCCGCTAAAGGAACGTCCGGGTCAGCTAAACGTTTTTTAAGGAACCATTACTACCAGCTTAACACCTCTAACGTTTCATGACCGGCAAATTGTAGTATCAGGGCAACGACTGGACCACGGCTTTTCAATTTAACCAGTTATGTTCATGAAGGCCTAACTAGCGCCCAGCTAGGGACCATTCCTTTGTTTCACCCTAGTCACGCAGCCCCTTCCACCGGCATCGAATTCCACCGAGGATCCGACGTGATGTGGATGTCCTTTAGGCCCCAAGGGGCCTGGCTGTCCAGGATAACCGCTTCCAATACATCCCGTGCCACTAAATAGCGAGAGCCAGAGCATATAAAGTATATACTGTACTCTGGCAGGTCGCCGAGGGCCAGTATTTTGCTGACGAGGTGAAATAAAATCGACCATCAGGGACCGCGGTCTTGTGTGAGAAATTGATTGGTAGATTGTGTTCGCCTGTGATTGACTGACCAGTAAAGCTGGATCGCGACAAGCGTCGGCGGGCCCTGCCGTGACTCGCCGCAGTTGGGGGGGTAAAGTAAACAGACAGCGGACCCGAGCATGCGCAAGCGAAGGGGGTGTTGATGACGTCTGCAAGTCCTCGTCGCCGTCCGGTACTCAAGACGTCACCTGAGGGCTGACTGTGCCTCAGCGGCACAGCAAGATGCCGAACACGGGCACACTGCTAGGCCATCTGTGTGTGTGCACATTTCACCACCAAATACTGAAATCAAATGTCAGTGAAACCACAGTGACATTTAGACCCCGTCCTAGAATGTTACCATAAAAAAGATCGGCGCCTCTAGTGGAGTGCATGCTTTTTTTTCGAAGGGTCATGATGCAGAACTAACAAACTTCGGGCGGGGGCCTGCCATCACCATTTATATAGTTGTCCAGAAAAAAATGACCTTTAAACGATAGAACATCCCTCACCAGCTGTGCAGCGTGTCAACAAGTAACCAATACCTAGGCTGACTTGGGATCCAGAAATCGCGGAAACGGTCTCCATTTATGGTCATCTAACATACCACAGAGCAGAGCGGCGAGGACGTGACGACTGCCCGTCACCATAGGTAACAGTCCGCTACAGGCGAAATGCGAGTTCCAGGAAGTAGGCGACGGGACGAGATTGCAGGTCACGGGATCGAGCCCCACACTTTGGGGTTGGGTATGACTGGCTCACAGCGGTTAATAATTCAGAAATGGCCAATAACAGTCTCCCCTGTCTTATTCGGTAATGCCATTCTGCCTGTCACGCGTCACTGTCCAGCTTCTGGGGGGGGGGCTCGAGAGAGAGCCCTGAGGCACAACGGACGAGTGAGTTACGTGGCACGATCGGTGAGCGCCCTCCTACCGGGAAACAAGAGTCTTATTCGTCAGACGTTTCGGATCTGTACTCGAACCTCTACCAGTTGCCGCCTCTAATGATGGGTTCGGGTGTGAATACAAAGGATCAGATGAGTAAATTCCTTATTTTAGCGATCGTGCCTCCGCAACTCCTCAGTGGCCTCATTTGTTTTTGGCTTCTCCCCATCCGAGGATCGGATGAAATTGTCGGCCCCATCAGTAGAGGCTAGACTTGGGGCACCCAAAGGAGGCGGCGTCGTGGCATCAGATGAATATTCAGGCGGGGGCTGGTTTGTGTTAACTATGCTGTGAAGCTGATTTGGGTTCGGCCTGATCTGGTCTTGCAACTCCAACAGCACACGAAAGTCGCGTTGCTCTCCGGGGACGTTGAGGCTACCAATGACTCTGAGAGCACTGGAGGCTGGCATAACTAGTAATGGCCCATTTACACGCAATATCGATTGGTAGGGGGCGCTCACCGATCGTTCTTACGGAACTCACTCGTTCTGTTGTGCCTTACGGGCCCTCACTCGAGCCCAACCAGCAGCTGCACAGCGGCAGAATGGCATTAACGAGAAAGACAAGGGAGACTAGAATGGCCAGTTTTGACTTATTAGCCATCGTCAGCCAGTCATACCCAACCCCGAAGTGTGGAACACCCGAGGCTCGCCCACTACCATTGTATATTCCCAATCGAAAGCGACAGGGTAACGGGCTTGTGGCCCAGTGGCTAGAGGCGTGGACTTCTAACTAACAGGTCGCGAGTTCGAGCCTCGGGTGTTCCACACTTTGAGGTTGGGTATGACTGGCTGACGACGGCTAATAAGCCAGAGATGGCCATTCCAGTCTCCCTTGTCTTTGTCGGCAATGCCATCCTGCAATATCGATTCCCCATAACGGTTCCGGGATTTGGATGATGGTGTCTCTTCTGGGACTGTCTCCGTGCCCAAAGACTTACCCATTTGCTTTTGACCCACTGCTCTCATAACCGCCTTTTTTTCCAGAAAATAATCCAAGGAAATGAGCCGAAACCGCTATACCCGGCCAGCCTGGTCCAGCCCCTTGAAGGTCAGGCGACTTGGTACCTTGACAGGGCCGCAGCACAGCTTCTCAAGACGGCCAACTAGGAAAGTATTCTGCACCCTGGAGCCGGCAGGAGTTTCGATCGATGTCGGGACCCGACGAGTGAAAATTTATTCCACAATCACCTACATTGAAACACAGTGATCCGAATTTATGATTTGAAGAATTACTCTGTGTCTCCACATTTATTCCATAATTTGTAATTTTTATAGTAAATGGTTACTAGAGCCCCCCCCCCCCAACGTCTGCTTTCGCAAGTGTACAGTAGATGTGCTATTTCGTGAAATTTTGACCGAAGTTCTGAAATACGTGTCAGTTCGAAAAAATCACTTAAATAGGGTTATAATATTGGTTATCGTACAGAATAATCCCAAGCAATTTTAGACTTCAGGGTGCTGGCTTTTGGACGAGCTTTTTGGCCGTCTGCAAAAAGTACACTTCGCAAAAAGTGTCTACTTGAGTAGTATAAGTTATCCCACTAATTTTCAACGTCCTCATAATTTAAAGTATATTTTATAGACAACATGCCGAAGAATGTGCTCCCTTATAGTCATTTGGTAGGAAATTACGTCTTTAAATTTTGTACCTAATGCGAGGGTATTTTTTGGGTTCAGCGATGATACCCATGTAGACATCTAAGACGTAAAGTCCAGCAAACGTACGCTTTCGCTTATTCATCATCGGATCCGTGCAGTAATATAAGGGAGGCCGATATTAGACATGAGTAATTCCCCCTATCATACAATTGCTAAATGGCTGGCGGAAAGGCCTAAGCTGATCCGACACAGCATAGCGTCACGCAGTTTACGGGACACATTTGAATTCTTTGAAGAAGAAGATGGGCTCTCTGGAACAGGTTTATTTAAATGCTGACGTTTTAAAGAAATCGGTCGGCTCTCCATTGTCAAAGCGTAAAATGCACTTAATCGATCAGAAATTTCAAGTGGCATGTGTTGGCCGGCCTCAGGCTGATCGATAAACCTGTTCCGGAGAGCCCATCTTCAAGTAAATAACCCGGATCTCTCAACTTTGCCAATCTGAACATTTGAATTCGTCGATTGTATAAGATACACAGACCCTAATGGGAAAACGATGCTGTTCCTAGACGCCGCGTCTTTGTTCACTAACATTCCTCCCACTGAAACGATAGAATTTTTATATGACGAGATTGTAAAGTTGGATTCTCCGGCCGGAATGCCGGTCGGAGGCCTGAAGAAATTGCTCTTTCGCTGCACGCTAAATGTGCAGTTCAGATTCGATGGTCGATTGTACCGCCAAATCGGTGGCGTAGCGATGGGATCACCCGCTACTACCTGATGTCTTCATGGGAAAACAAGAGAAAACCCATCTCTGTCCGATGATAAATGACCTTCATTCCTATGTTCGATATGTTGATGACATATTCGCAATAGCGTATGAAACGCTTGATTCGAACACCCTCCTGTGTAAAGTGAATCAGGCTCACCCAGCGCTAACCTTCACCTTGGAAAAAGAGAACGGAGAGTGCCTCCCCTTTATGGATGTCTTACTTACTCGAATTCCCGATGGAACAATTAGTAAAAGCGTATTTCGCAAGAAGCCATGGACAGGGCAGTGCAAAAATTTCTACAGTTTTGTCCCTCTAAACCAGAAACGAGGCTTGGTTCGCAACCTCACCAACCGAGCTAAGAGAATATGCACTCCAGATAGGCTTGAGAATGAACTCGCCATTATATGGAACATTCTGGGAGGAAACGGCTACTCATTAGCCTTTAGCCTGCGCGTCCACAGGTGGCGGATAGTGGGACGACCTTCTGTGAAGGTTAGCTGCGAAATAAGCAGACCCAGGTCTGACAAATAAGCAATCGCCCACCAGCAGCGACATTGCTACCACGGTGCGGTGGGCTGAGGTCTGGCACACTGAAAGCCTTATAAAAAGCCGCAAAACCCAATGAGGGCATCGTGACATGGCGATCGTAAACTGCCATTAAATAAGTTTACTTGCCACCGCTGCCTTGTGGTGAGGTTTCTAAGCCAAAGCGCTAGAGGAGACAACCTCGAACAAACAATCCGAGCGGCTGTTGGGGGCCCACCCGTATTCGAAATTCCCAAGAAACCTCATGAAATACGTCCGATCATGGCATTACGACCCATGCTACGGCGTCCGCGGGAACCGACGGGCTCCGCAACCCTGGTCCAGTGGTGCAGGCGAATAGTATGCGAGCTGGACTAATCAAGCGTGGACGGACTCTCGGTACTGGATGCCGGCATGTGCGAACGTTCCGGGACCCCGGTACCCTAAGTCTGATCGCACGCAGCCTTTATCAGTACAAAGTTGATGTTTGCTGTCTGTCTGAAGTTCGACTCCCTAACTCAGGCTCCCGTGAAATAAAGATCTCTGGAGTCGAATCACACGTTACCCTGTACCACAGGGACCCGCGCGATTCTTCTGGTAGACACGGTGTGGCGATCGCCCTATCGCAACAAGCAAACCTCACGCTACTTGCTTGGGAACCAGTCAATGACCGGATAGCCTACGTGCGACTGAAAGGTCACTTCACGTGCATCTCAATCATCTCTGTGTACGCACCAACTTCGGCTGCCGAACAGCGCGATAAAGAGGCGTTTTGCTTGTAGTTGCAAGTGTTAGTTGAAAGACTGCCTCGCCGCGATCTGCTGATTGTTGCTGGTGATTGCAATGGTCGAACTGGACCTGGCGACCCCACAACCAGTCATCTTCTTGGCCGCTTTGGGCTTGGCTTCCGATGTGAAAATGGTGAGAGATTGCTGAACTTCGCAAATCGGAACTGACTGCTTGTCACCAACACATGTTTCCAGCATCGCAAAAAACATCTGCTGACCTGGTATTCAAACGACGGTCATACGGCCAGTCAGATTGACTACATACTAGTCAGCTCGAGGTTCCGCAGCTGGGTTCACCATAGCAGATCGATGCGTTGTGCCGAGACTGGTAACGCCCATGGGTCGGACTATGTCCTCGTCCGTACACGCTTGAAAGCTCGTATTTCATCCGCGCCAAAAATGCCACGTCCTAGACGCCTCGATGTCGCAAAAATCCGGCAAGCCAGCGCTGCCAAGGCCCTAAGCAGAGAAATCCGGACCTGCTTTACGACCCGAGTCGACGGAGAAGTCAGTAACCAGTGGCCGTCACTGCAGACTTCAGTCTATGGGGCAGCTGAGAAAATCCTTGGATACATCCAACGACGCCGCAGTGACTGGATCAGCGGAAGAACCCTGCAGTTGTCTGCTCAGACGGCTAGAGCCAGGTCCCGCAACGATGAATACTTCCGCCAACTTCGGGAGATGACGGCAAAATCGGCCAGGGATGACCGGAAGCAATATTGGGCTGAAATAGCGACCTCCATGGAACAGACCTCGAACGTTGGTGACACTCCTCAGCGGAGTTTCCTCCCTCTCCTACCTATGCAGTGCCATGCGACCCCCCCCCCCTCTGAAGGAGACGTCGCCGATGCCATACGAAAGTTGCGCAACAATAAGGCGCCCGGAAGGGACGGTATACCCGCTGAAATCTACAAGTCTTCTGTCGACATGCTGGCGCCCTGGCTCCATGAGGTGATTGAACGAGCGTGGTTGTTCCTGGTGACTGGGGCTTATGCATCCTTGTACCTATCCTCAAGGGAGATAAGACGAGATGCGAGAACTACCGCGGCATAAGTCTCATCGACGTTGCTGCGAAGATCTTCGCTATTGTTCTACTCAAGCGATGCCAGGCTGTGCATGACTCAAGAACGAGACCCAACCAAGCCGGATTTCGTGCTGGACGTGGATGCGCAAACCAGATATTTACACTGAGGCGTATTCTCGAATTTCGCCATAGCTATCAACAACCGACGGCCGTCTGCTTCATTGACTTTGCCGCCGTGTTCGATTCCGTTCACCGTGAGTCCCTGTGGCAGATAATGGCACTAGATGGTGTACCGGCAAAAATAATCGCCATGATCAAGGTCTATTATCGCTCCACTACGCTATTGACTGAATCCTCGGGAGGGCCCTACGCGAGAGTGACGGCGTTAAATTTGCACCCGGACATCGACTGACTGATCTCGACTATGCCGATGATATCGCTTTACTTGCTTCAAGTTTTGGTGATCTGCAGTCTATGGTGCCACGTGTGAACGAGGTCGCTAAATCGGTCGGTTTATCCATAAACGCTGGGAAGGCCAAAGTGTTTTCAAGCTTCATCCCTGACCAGGAGAAGGCACCCCTCGGTAATGATGGCTGACAACTTGAAGAAGTAGACAGTTTTAAATACCTCAGGGCGAGGCTGCTGCCTAATGGACAGAGTAAGGACGACATTGTCTCCCGAGTCGATTTTGCCCGCTGGGGTTTCTCAAGCCTTCGGAAATGTCTATGGATCCGACGTGACCTCTGCATCGCCACTAAGATTCGCGTGTACCGTTCATCTGCCCGGTCTGTCCTTCTTTACGGTTGTGAATGCTGGGCTTTGCGCATGGAGGACGAGCGAAAACTGGAGGTATTTGACCACCACTGTTTAAGGACCATCCTTCGAGTGAAGTTCAACGACTTCGGCTCAAAATGAGACAGTCCGCGCTCGCTGCGACAACATCGCAAGGATAACCCAGGCCATCCAAGAAAGACGACTGAGGTGGTTCGGGCATGTTCTTCGTCGTCCACTTCAGGAGCTCAGTGTTACTGCCCTCGATCCGGCACCGTTGCCCCATTGGAAGCGTCGAAGAGGGGGTCAGTTCAAAACCTGGCTCGACAGAGTTCGTCAAGACATGGAGGTGGTTCTTGGACTTTCGGTATTCGGTCTGCGTCGTTGGCGAAAGGAATGGGTTGAGCTGTCCAGATCTGCTGCCGCGGATAGTCACGCGTGGAGAGGTGCAGTTCGGGATATCGAGGCCGGCTAGCTCAGGCATGATGGCAGCCGTATCAAGTACAAGTTTTCAACAAATATATGAAAGAACGACCTCCAAAATCTGATGCGCTGACGGCTAAGACAGAGTTATTTTTCATATTGCCATTTCGAGGGAATCCGGCGAGCGAACTCCTTTATCGTCGCTTAAAATCCGCTATCGCGCGCACCTACCCAGCCGCCAGGATAACATTGGTTTTCACAAGCACTCCGTTTCTGCATTTCCAGACCTCTTCAGTGTGCATCTAAGCCTTCACTTGCTCCTGTGGAGCGGGTTGAGCAACAAGACGTCTAGCTGGACGGATACGAGAGCACCATCCTGTTTGGCTAAACCAAAGTGGGAAAAAGCGCAATTGTTGCTAAGTTGGTCGGCAGTGGCCACCGGATAGACGTCGACCAAGCATTCTGACACTCCGAGTCCCTGCGTCAGCGAGTACTTGCGACGGCAGAAGCAGTGGCCGTACGGTTAGCCAACCCAGCCCTGTGCTCCCATAAAGCGCCTGTGCAGGCGCTAAGGCTTCCCTGGACAAGGACAAACGCAGCATACGTGTTCACACCCGCCACGTCGTGGTACAGCGACGAAACACGGACAGTTAATGGCAAGACACCTTCCTCCTCCCCTCCCTAAACCCCAGACAGAACTAGAATCTGATCACTGAGCTCTGAACGCCCTTCAACTCCTCCCTTCATATTGTCTTTTATTGCAAGGGTATTTCTCTGTTTTATAAAGTTCCTAATTCGTTCTTTAAGACCCTAAAATATCTCTTCTTAATGCTCATACGATATACAACATGGTCCACAGTCATTTCAAAATTTTATGAGCCCTGTATGGCTTCTGGTTAAGAGCGCATAGAAATGCATGATTCTATTTTCACGGGAAATATACAGCTTGTAGTTCGGAAATTCTGAATAAATTTGCACCGACAGGTCGAATTCAAAATGATTCGGGAATTAAGTGACTCAAAACCAGAATATATCTCTTCTTTAAACACAAAATCTAAATAAGACCTAATTTCCTACCAAGTGAGTACGAGAAAAATAGTTCTGTGCATGTTTTTATGAAACGAATTTATAAGGGTATTGAAGACTAGTGGGAAACATTCTCAGTAATTAAGTAGCCATTTTAATGTAGTTTCTGCAGGGTGCGGGAAAGAAGCCGGATCACAAGCAGGCGCCCTGGCATGACTGAAATATTTGGGGATTATACCGCACGATAGTTAATATTACAATCCAAATAGATTGATTTTTTTGGATCGTAAACACGTTTCAGAGTATCGGTTAACGTTTTGTGATGGGAACAGACTGTAACAGGTCGGAATGAGTTTGGCGACTGACCTGGTCGAGTTTTGCGACGCTTCACAACTCAAGTGAAGTTTACATCCATGTCCCAGGATGATCTATGAGTTCAAGTCACTTGGAGTACTAACCGAAGCTGCATAGACTGCATTGACAAAAAGCACACACACGAAACAAAATAAAAGTAATGGGAAAACACTTTTGATAGAAAGAGAACACCCACGTGGGTGAGTAAGGGGTGAGAGTTCGGTTCTGCGTCTGGAAGCGAGAGCTGAGTGCTGACCTTGTCAGTTGACCTCATGATGACAATAACCGAGACTCAGACCAGGGTTCCGTGAAAGCGACAGGGTCCAGGGGAGTACAGTGGGTGCCGAAGACCTCCTTAAAATACTTGCTGGCCTAAAAGGGATAGGAACAAGCATACCAGTAGTCATTTTAGGTGTAACGTTCGCTTGGGATTCCACTGAATTCACTTTTTAAAAATGTCTACACATGTTAGTCTGGCCTTTGCCTGTCACCGTGCATGACTTCGGAGCCGATATTCTCTACACAAATGCTCAAAAATTTCCCAAGGGGGACAAGACACCGGTGTTTGTAAATAATTGAGGATCCGGTGGCAAAAACAGGTTGACTACAAAGCGCGGACGGAGCAGAGGCTTACCCATGATGGCAGGGACAACATAAGCGTCGCAGTTCGTACTTTGGTCGATTTCGATCGCAGCTGTTCGTGCTCTGTAGTGATGTTAGGATACGGAAATAGGTGCCGCCCCCGTATTACAGGTGGCCCTGCGCAAAATTACGAGGGGGAGGGGGGGGGGGTCGGGGTTGGTATTATGGTCCGGAGGATTAAAGTTGGGACACCGGAATAGATATCCCTCGAAAATCTAGCCAAAAGCCACCTGTAATACGAGGGGATACTTAACCCCGTGTCCGATGGCGATAATAATCAGGGACGGGATGGGCATACGAGTGGGTTTTATGAACAGGAAACGCCCGGCATGTGCACTTCCCGTTCATACACATGTGGGTCCTTATATTTATGCACGACCCAAACACCAGGACGGTTGATTCTACTTGGAAGCACTCTGGCTCACGCAACTAACCCACTGCTGAGGGTACTGACAGGCTTCCAGAAGCTGCTATTACATCGCAAACAAACGGATAAGATGGTGTGGTGGGATAGAGGCGGTAGGTTATAGAAGGGGGGGGGGGTTACAAGTCGGACTAGATAAGTGCTGTAAGCAATACCACTGAATTCTCTCGAACAGGATTCTGGACAGTGTTTGGGGCCAGCCAGTGTCGGTTAGAAAAATAAAAAGCTTATGACCGAAAAGCGCTCCACGGGGCTGCCTTCTGCCTCTAGGTCGACCAAGAAGTGAACTATCATAAAGGCAGGATTTGTATCAGTGTGAGTGCAGAAGGAATCGGCGTGGTTCTGTCAGAAATGCTGCATCCCAAGGCGACGCCTAGGTCGTACTATTTGTGGTCGTTCAGCGATGTCCAGCGATGAGGAGCGCATTTCAAAGTGCAAGCTGTCGAAAGCGGTGCTGCCGAATTTATGCCAGTGAAAACTGTTCGGCCGGTCCCCCGAACTTACCTAGCAGTATGGCGTCACAACCTAGGGCGTTTTGGTTTTCTGAGGCTGCTGGCCCCAGACGACTCTAAGTGCAGTACGATGAAGTGAGTCAGGCACAGTGCTCGAAGGCGGTTATAATACAAATAACTAATGGTAGATGGCCGCCAACTCTGCTGGTTTGACGGCGTCAGTTTACATGATCTGTCCGGCCTGAAGGCTACTCGGTTAGTTTTGAAGTAAGCGAGCCTGCAGATGTGGCAGATAAACGGCGAGGATTGAATATGTAAGCCCACCGATAAAATCGAGCCTAGGGCCTCCTGTAATACCGGAAGGGCGTTAATATTAGTTCTACTAGTAGGGTGGATGGATGGGGCAGTTAACAGAATCCGCAGAAGGCAAACAACCTTAACTGTAATCTCTAACCTGACCGTAATCATAAATTCAATCACCTAAGCTTAGCCAGAAACGCAACCCTAGCATGCGTACTGAAACCGAATAATCAGGCATGTTATAGTTGTAAAGACAAGGCTTACGTAGAAGATCGTCGTCAAATAGACAGCCACGGGCTAGACAGCAACAGCAATTTTAGGCCAGGCGAGTCGGTTGGCCACAAAAAGGTTGTAAGCCAGGACAGTATTACAACACAGCAGATTCTGGCCGCTATCCAATGAGGCCTTACACCACGATCGGACACAATCCAGGAACGTGAGGTCGATGCAATCAAGGGGTGGACATAGACGCCCACCTTAGGAAGCCAGACGTCACAGGAAACCGCGACTCCGCTAAACAT